ATAATCAAATCACTTGAATTATACTCATCTGATTAACAGCTAATGCTATTTTGAGACAATAGATGGTAAAGAGAGAACGGACATATCAAAGCTAGTCTTCTGTTCTGCTTGCCTGGCAGGAGATGAAAAGAAGAACAAGTCATTTCTTCTGCACAAAACTTTTATACCTGGTCCTAATGTCCCACCTCTTTCACAGCATTACATCTTCTGAGATAACATCTGGCTTTACCCGCAGTGACATCAAATCACGAGAGGCCCAGCCACATATCATCGCTCTGCATGTGACCTTACTTCAACATGATTTAAAACAAAATTCAAAATCACTGCATTTTCTTCTTTTCTATATCGTACTTTAACATGATTTATCAATAACTTTATCACATATGAATTTTCTGTCAGGTGTGCAAAGGCTGTACCCAAATGCAGGACTTTCTACGTAGAACACAGTGCGTTTTTTTACTGTGAAGCAAAAACAATATGCAGATAAATCCCCATGCATGCTCCTGGTGAGTGTGCTTTCCCTATTCCGGTGCAGTGTGTTCTCCCAGTGTCCATGGTCTGTGTTTCTGCTCCCTTGGTGTCTATATACAACCTGCTCGCTTTGTCCATTTGTTTCCGCAACTCTCCTGGAAATCCTAGTAATATCCACCCTGCCTCAAGTGCAGTCAGGACACCAAGATACTGATGTGCACACACACACACAATGTGGGGAAAAAGGGAAACGAGGGACATCAACACAATGCATAAACATGGCATTTTACCCACCGAGCACTGCGGACTATGACATATTCAGTCAAACACTGATTTTCATCAGCTCAGTTATATAGGAATACTGTTTCTCACATTTTCTCTACATAACCCAGTAAATCACAAAAAACTCATTATATCCTCTTTTATTAAATCATACATATCAAAGTCAAAGTTTGCTTAGTCATTCTGACCAAACTCTAAATGCCCCCGACAATTGTTCGGGCTGCGCCATGTTTGCATTTCCCGTTGATGCAAATAATCCCAGCAGAGAGAAGTACACACACACACACACACACACGTGTACGCACACCAAATCAAAGTAAAAGGTAAAAGGTCAAGATTCAGGTATTAATTCTTGATTAAATCTATTTTTGATTATATTCTGATTTTATATATTTTTAATAATACAATTGAGCAAGATTAACTAAT